GACTGATAATGTCTTTATAACATCAATAGACAAGAGAAAAAAAAAAAATTCAGCATTCCACAAATTCTTTCAAATTCTACCATCTTCATGTTCCTAATTAACTTGTCATGAAGTGGTCTCAGAAGAAAAGATCTCTCTTGGTTTCTTTCAGCTGCCTGTCCTGCTGTGCATCATGCTGAAGTCCAAAATACATTAGAAATCTGGTTTGCTATGCTGACCAGAACCAACAGATCCAATCCATAAACATATAAAAAAGAAAACAAATTGCAGACAATTATAATGATATTCACAAGACCCCTGATGGATCAGAATTGTCTACACAGTGTATCATAGTGATACAAGATGACTTGTTTCCCAAAGAAAAATTCCATCAGAAGTGAATATTATTACAGTATGTGGGGGAAAAAATTAAATCCTTCATCCTAATTACTACTTAATTCAAGTAGCAGAAACATCCAGACAACCAAAACTTTTCAGTATTATGGACTGATATTCTGATGATGTAACATACAAGCAGAAGTGCCAAACTAATTTTTAAGTTCCTGTAGTTACTGCAGGATATGAAAATAATCTTGAGCAGGTAGAAGGGTATAGTTCTACTCAGTACTTTTAGTATCTTCTAGTACAAAATATAATAAGGGTGTATCCAGGCTTGACTAAAATAACTAAAACTTAACTAAACTGAAATCCTAACTTAACTAAAATAGCTTTCTGATGGTGCACTCAGGAACAGCTAAATATATCATGGTACTTCAGGTAAACAAGATGTTGGGATAAATGTTATTCCTGCAGTCAAAATCTACCCTGCCTTAAAAACTACTGCGAAGAAAAACTCATCCCAGTGCAGTTCATAGCAATATTCTTGTACCTGTACTCTTCAGATATCACCTGAAATTGCATCAGTATTAAAAAACTTAATGGCTGTTTTTTACAGTGAAAAGGAGAGTCTATTTACAGTGAACTATTTTATAGCTGTTTTTCAGACTTTTATGGTACTTTCATAGTAGAGAAAAAAAGTCTTTAACAACTAGAAAAGATAGTGCAACAGGTCCAAAAAGCAATGCTGACTATGCTGTTTTAAGAAGTAGGTGTTGAAGTAACAAAGAGACTGAATGTCTGCAAGATGTACTGGAAAGTGGTTTGTTAAACATTATGTGGCCACATTCTCCTAAAATGCATCAGCACAAGTAAAAAAAGATGATCCTTCAAATATGTTCTTCAGTGGTATTTATTCTAGACCTTTCCCCACTAAGAAAACAATTAATGTAGCATAAGCAAAGGAAACCATATATGCTTTAGAACAGTAGAATCAAATAACTTTAGGTTTCGTGTCTTACTGTCCCTGCAGCTCTTTCAGAGTTCTGCTGCCTGTGTGTGGAGAGAAAGCTGGAGAGAGACAGAAAACCAATTCTGCCTGTTATAAAAAGTATTACAATGTGTAGCCAACTGTACAGGACAGTCTATGATGTACTAATGTATGGGTTGGAGCTGGATAGTTGGGTAAGGGCCACATTTCGGGCTGACTGCACATGATAGCACATGCACCTAGAATCTTGGTCCTTTTTTATTCACTTCAGCACTGCACTGGACCAACACAGCAAACACTGATTGCTTGGGATCTAGCACAACCAGCATCTGCTGACTTTGTGAGGACAACACAAACTTGGGTGTCTAGTATGGGGTTTCAGAGTTGTTAGCAAGGCAAAGTCTGAAGTCTTTGGGGAATCACAGCCTTTCCTTAGCCCCGGCAGGGGGAAAAGCTAAAAATCAGCGATGACTATGATTTATTTAAGCATGCCAAAATATGCCACATTTATCAGCCATATTTAAAGCAGGGAAGAAGGAGAAAAATGAGGATTTTTTGATGGCATTCCAATTTATATACAGTCTGTTAATTATTGCATGTTCTCATCAGCATATGTTCTCAGTGAAACCAAATGTAAGAGATGGAGTCCTCTTTGTGTAGTATGTGCCTGTATTTGAAAATTCATATTCATATGTAAGGGAGGCTGGAAACAGCCCAAGAAATGTACTTAAGTAGCTCTTCCTGAAAAACACTGGTAAGTCTTATGCTGCAAGAAGAGATGCTCTTGTTCTGTCTGTGAGTACTAAAATAGGTAAACATAAGGTCATGCACCTATGTCAAAAAGGGAACAAAAGGAAGAAACAGACCAAGATATGCTCTAAAATACAATCATCCTCTGAATCATTCAGTGAATCTGGTAGATGATTTTTTTTCTTGTCTTTGTAGTCCTTGAGGCAGAGGAAATTCTTTCCACTGTGCTTTACAAAATGCTAACTGAACCATTAGTGATTAACAAATAAATAATCCTGTCTATAGACAATTATCCTTCCCCTTATGAAGTCACTTCCTCTCTCACTGTAAATCTGCCACACTGTTCTGGTGGCAGTTTGGATAAGTGAGATCACATCTAAATTTTAGAGGTTAGTTTGAGGTGAATGAATGAAAATGCTGTCGTGAAATCTAAGACCTTTGGGTATACCTGTGACAACTTGGAACTTGAGATCGTTTGCTGCTGGAAGGCTTTAGCCTTTAAAGGCACAATTCAAATGAGCCTCAAATAAAGCAATAAAAGATGCTGCCTAGTGTGACTTTTTTCCCCCACTCATTGTGATGTACACTTTAAAAATGTTTGTTTTTCATCTATTATTTAATAATCTAGTACAATCTTTACTACTGTTCAGGGAGATGTTGTTAGACAAATAGGTTTTTGTTGTCTTTTTATCTTTCCGTTTTTTTGTGAAAGCAAATGGAGTCTCTTCATGCCATTAACCAAAGTGACTTGTAAACAAAGAGGCAATTTAACAGCATCCCCACAGCATTACATTCCTACTTAACCCTGAAAAGACTGTGCCATGTGAAAACTCAAATGATCAGAGTTGTTCCTTTTGCTAGAATTCTAGCAAATAATCTAGTATTTTTGCAGATGTGTAATTGCACTTTTTTGCAAATACATTGTTCAAGAATATAATCCCAAAAGCAAGAAGCCCTTACAACAGTCCTTCTATCCAGTCTGCACCTCTGATTGATTTCTTTGCTTTACATAACATTCATTTAGTGGAAGTGAACGATGAGCATTGTCAGAACTGCAGTATATACCAGAGCATTTCCAGGAAAGGATGTAAGCTGTAACATCAAAGGAATTTGAGGAGTGCAATGGCTGCTCTGTAGAGCATCAGGGCTATTTACCATCACTGTATCTGTTACAAAATACATATTCATTTTCTATTAAATTACCTCCTGCAGTATTTACTACTCTCACAGTTTGGTGTGTAAGTGATCAACCCATCATCCCTTCCTCTGTCCCCCAAATGTCCCACAGGCTTTTGTTACAAGTAAAATAAAAGTGCCACATAATTCTGTCTGCTTTCTGTCAGAGCATTCAATATGTGAAGAAAAATTAAATTTGGGAGTAAGGTAAGAAGGAAACAAGGGTTTCAACTAGCCCTGAGGTCATTCTAGCTCTTCTCTGCTTGCTTGGACAAAGTTATTATAATTATTCTTTTTCTGGAATAAGCATATTTTTGCCCTTTTCAGCAAACACACTTATGTTTTAATAGTTACTGCTATTTTCAGCCTTGTGTATGCCAGAAGCTATGGTTGGTCATGCCAGTATTCATTAAAAAGTCTCATGCACAAACTTTATTCTTAACATTTGTTTACACTTCATGTGATAGTCACAACATTTTAAATTAAATACAGGATTTAAGGCATAATTGACACCACCAAATGTTATTTTTACCTACAAATAATCAGAATAACAGACAATGCTCCAAACTGAGGCAGTTCCTTAAAGTAAATGCTTTTTCTACCTCTGTAGTAGAATTCTACTGATGGAAATGTTGTTTCTTCCATTGTTTTTTTTCTTTTGAGGAACACAAAAGGAACACAACTCTGAAACTTGCTGTATTTTTATCCTGGTAATGTACATTAATCATAGAATCATAGAATGTGCTGAGTTGGAAGGGATCCATCAAGATCATCCAGTCCAGCTCCTGGCCCTGTGCAGGACACTCCAATGACACCATGTACCTGAGAGCATTGTGCAAACCCTCCATCCATTCTGTCAGGCTGGTGCTGTTACCACTTTCCTGGGGAGCCTGTTCCAGTACCCAATTACCCTCTGTGACAAACTTTTTCCTGATATCCAATCTAAACATTCTTGACTCAGCTTTAGGCCATTTTCTTGAGTCCTATCCTTGGTCACAAGAGTGAAATCTGTGTCTACCCCTCCTCTTCCTCTTGTGAGGAAGCTGCAGACTGCAATGTGTTCTTCCCCCAGTGTCCTCTTCCCCCGGCTGAACAAACCAAGTGACCTCAGCTGCACCTCATAAGGCTTCCCCTCCAGACCCTTCACCATTCTTGTGGCCCTCCTTTGAACGCTCTCTAAGAGCTCAATGAGAGCACATAGAGCATGAAGAACTTTCATATCCATTACTTCAATGAGTTTACTAACTAGGAACAGGTATGTATAATCTTCCAGCAGGGAAAAGTTTCTACACATAACTAACTCTCCTTATAATCCACTCATTTATTTTACTATTTCCATATATAGCATGGTCTCCCTCTACTGATCGTTAGCTAGTTTTTAGTTCACTTATTTTCCTTTCCTTTAACTAGCAAAAAGCTTCACTTTCTCCACCTCTGTCCACATAAGGAAGGACAAAGCCAGTGACTGTGTTACTTTTCCAGCAGAAAGCACCAGAAGAGCAGAAAGGCCTTGCTTTCAACAGAAGAAACAAAAGCTTTAATTCCTGCCATCAAAGTAAGCCGACCAGCTACCTACCTTAAACTCTGCAGGCTTCCATCTAAATCACTAATGCAGGAATTGCCACCAGCCCTCAGGAGCTCTGACAGCCAGAACATTCCTGCTGCTTTAATGAGGAGGAGTGTAATGCTCCACTTCACCATACAAACCATTTTCTCACCCAGTTGAATACAATACAGCTATTAAAAAAAGAGAAGAAATAAGACTTACTCAATAAAGTAGACTTCTCCCTTTTCTGTATAGGCCATTTCCCAGTTATCAGGCAGTGGGCCCAAGTCATCATTCTCTTCAGGTTTAGTCTGTTTTGTTACATCCATATCCTCCTTTGCTTCTTCAGGTTGACCATATCCTGGTGCAGGAGAAGGCTGGGTGGTAGATGCCTCACCCGAGACAGCTGTACTCTTCTCTTCATGTTCACTTGATTCTACAAGAGAATAAAAATTACAGGTTTTGGATATCCAGGTTAATGGCAAAGAATTTACTGTGTGCATGTCTGTGAACTTCAAGTCTTGAAATAGAGAGAAAAAGTCTGTTTAGTTTACAGAACGGCCCCTCTGATGATGCATTTTATTTAAAACACAACAGAAGAAAATAAAGCAATAAAACCAAACTGAAACAAGAAACTAGTAAAGAGTTCTGTCTCATTCTGTCCCAGGAGTCCTTCTAGACTAGCAGTAAGCACGGAGCAGAAGGCAGCTGCTCCAGCAGCTCTCATGTCTCATGTCTTAACTTTTAAAACTATACTCATAAACACACATATATATACATAAAACAACTACCTCACTGTTCTACTACAGACTACAGATCCTTTTAATGTAAAAAAAGTATATGCACTAATTGCTTTATCTGTATCCATATATCAAAGAAACCAATGACATTCATTGACTCACAGTGATATATTAACCACAAAGTTGTGATTTCATTGCCAATATGACCTCTGGGAGGCTTTGTTTCCCACAGCCAATATCAAATGCTTCAACATGTCAACACTGTAGTCTATAGTAAAGTGCAAGAAGATGACAATTTATTAAATGATCTAACAGTGCACCCAGAGAAAGGAACTATGCAGATTCCTGTGTGAAACATATAGGAAGTTGGAAGACAGCTTGGGTGAAATGTTCTAATTAGTGATGCTTACAACAACAAGAAAGAAGAAGAACAAAAAAATTAACAAAACTGTTTATAAAAGCCTAGATTTTAATTAATCCACAGAATCAATGAATGAGATATTATGGCAAGCAATGCTAAGAGATAAAAAGTTCAAGAGAACTAGTAAAGATTGAATGAGCAATATTCAGAATGCAAGTACAAATTGTTCTAATGAAAAAGAAAAATGGTAAGTATAATCAAAGTTAATTTTAATTAAGTCATGAATTTGCAATGATCTGCTACTTGGGACAGAATTGTGTAAAAGGTGAAGACTAGATTAAATTGATAATGATGAACACAGAAAAGCAACATGGGCATCTAACAGCAAAACAGTGCAGTCAGTCTAGAAAGTGGGATACAGTCAGGACACTAGGGCTAACAACAAAACTTTCTGTAAGTGCAATGATAAAAATAAAATTTAAAATAATAATAATACAAAAATCAGATTCATCCTACTGTGTGGGAAGGAAGGAAAGCTAATAGTTTATGACTCAAAAAAACCCCAAGGCAATTAGTGCTCTTTTTGCCTCAGTCACTAGTACAAAAAAAATCAGCTGTGATTAAATGACTAACATAATATCAGCAATAGGGCTAAAGAAGGTGGAGTGGGCAGAGAACAGTTCAGGTGAAACACTGATGAGCCAGCTGCTCTCAATTGGCAGAGCTGGATGAAATGGAACCCGGGGTACAGAGAGTACCACAAAAGCAGACTCACGGCAAGCAATGGCAACACCTTCCCTGGGAAAATAAACTTGGAAAGGACAAACACAACCCTGGTTTTATCAAAGTATCTATGACAGAGGCTTTTAGATAGTTTTATATTCTTAATTTCTGAGTACCTAAGTTTCCTCTGAGATGATTTACTCAATTAGGCCATTTTGTCTTTTTGTAACTAAAAAGTTACATAAAACTGTAACTGCACATCTTTTTAATTACTAGGATTGGAAGTAAGAATCAAACCACCTACATGTAAACTCTTCAGAGGTCATAAATACTTGTCAAGACTTTTGAGGAAGAAATTGTGTCAAACTAATCTTTTTTTCTTTACATGACATAGTAAAAGGTGAAGCTTCTTGGGGATGACATATACAGCTTTCATGATCTTAAAAAATGCTTTTGACATTGACACATCAACCCTTTAGAATAGCACGGAAAAAAACCCAAATTCAACCTTGGAAAGGGTAATGATCTTCAGCTCTACATCCACATGCAGCTCATGCTGCTAAACTCATGCTTGAACTGTGTGGAATTAGAATAATTTTATGCTGTTTGGAAACATGAATCTCTCTGTCTGTAGCTTTTTCAAATATGTAAAACTTCCTATAAAGCAAAGATGATATATGGTCCCCACTTCCCCTGAGAATAGGACAATGTAATAATTGCTGAATAATTTTTGGGGTGTTTTGTTCTTATATTTTCAAAGCAAAAGTCTTCATCTGCTTCAGGCATTATTAACAGATCTGTGAGTTGTATTCCTGATGCTGCCTGCAGCCTTGACCACATTTCTACCACAGGAAGGAAGACATGCAGATTAAATTGAATATAAGGATTAAGGTCACATGGCAGATATGACCACAGTAGAACAAATTCATTTGAGGCACAGGTGCATCACATACACGGACTATTCATCAGCCAGTTCGTCTGATAGAGCACAGATGTGGTGACACTGCTGTGTCCTGGGATTTTACCATGATATCTCTTGTATGTGTTCTTCCTCCATATCTTATTTTCAACAGGTCTGAAGAGGTCAGACTTGTGATTTTCAATATCTATATTAACAAATCCCAGCCATCATGATGACAGAAAGAAGAAAAAAAAGGTGAAAATTGTTTCTACTATTTACAGTCTAATTCTTGAAATTTGCCCTCTAAACATGTCAGAGGACTTTGTAACTTTATTCTTTTATTTTAATGTTGCAGATTATTCATGCAGAGAATTTAAAAAACAGTCTCTTCATCCAAAAGAAGCTAATATGATCCAAGTAATACTAGCAAAGAAAAGATAAATTATTAAATAGTAATTTATAGATTAAATTTAAATATAAAATTCATAGATAAAATTTAAATTTAGTAATTTAAATAGAATTTAAGAAATTAAATTCTGTACAGGAAAGAGTCTATCCTTTTAAAATAACTGTGGAAACAAGAGTAGTTTAACTCATATTTGCCAATACATGTGTATGTATTTTCTTGTGAAGATGTAACTCTGCAGCCTTGGAGTTTCTCCCTTTCCCACAGAGCTGGAGCCATACTCAGGGCTTGGTGCTTTTGTGTGGAGGCACTGCTCCCACTGACTCCTGACACAGTGAGAACCAGGGCATGACATGGGTGAGGAAATCGGGAGTCATGGAGACTGGGGGAGCACAGGGCATTCTGTGGGTCATAGGATGTGACTTAGTTGTGATAAATTGAGTCTAAAGAACGCATCTAGAAAAATCAATGGATACCAAGTTTTGTACGTTTTTAAATCTCACGGCTCTTGGAAGCTTTGTATGTTATTTTCATGCCTCTGGCTGTCTTAGCTGTGTAATAATAAAACAATAAACTCAACCTGTGTCCTGGGACTAGTGCACCTTTCATGGTGAGCGATGGCATTGGGACTCTGGTCTTTTGTTCATTCCTAAGGCCTGGAATGATAATTTGGAAACTTTATGTCATATCTTATGCCTCAATTAATTTGAGCCTGACAGAATTTAATTTTCTGGGTGCAACTTGTCATTGCTCAAGTACTGTCAGAATAATGCACATACATAAGCATGCTTTCAATGTTAAAGTGATTCTGCTGGAGTTTGGATGATAAACTTCATCAGTCAGAAGTGGAACGCAAATGTAATATGACCAACACCATGTCAAATACTGATGCCAATTGTTAAGGAGACCAACTCAATCCCTTGCAGGCATAAACAGTGACAGCAGTAAAAAAGGCTGAATGTCTGACAAGTTTCTGATTTCAATTTGATCAAGACTCTTTTTACCTCTTTGGTCAAAGCATCAGTCTGGCAGAAATCATTAATCTCAATACAGTGTCCATCGGGAAAGTCTTAAGGGCAATATCTCTCACCCAGTAATGTGGACAATTGCACTAAGCATAAGAAACCAAATACTATGCCTAGACTTGCCCATTTTAACAGTTAATCTATAGATTATGTCTCTCATATGTTTCTTGGCAAATAGTAAGGGTCTTCATTTAAATTTATCCATTTAGGCTCTTCTGTATCTGTGGACTGAATTACTCATTCTGAATTGAAGAGGTGATGCCTTAAAATGTGTACACAAAACAGCTATGCTCTCTTAAACTTCAAAATTTCTTTTTTCTTCTTATTTTATATGAACATAGCAGAGACAAATAGCTCAAACAAAAAAGTAAGGCATTTAGGCATATAATTTTCTAAAGCTGGATTAGATAAATCCCATCTTCCAAATCATACTATTTTGTCTTGAGATAACTTGATCCATGATAAAGGACTGAGAGTGTTCCATCCTAAAAAGGCCAAAAGCCCCATCCTGAAGCACTGAGAAGAATTCCTGGTGGCTTCTGGGCTGAGGCAAGTGATACAAATCAGGAAGAGTAAACATGTTGGGCAGACAATTATGGTCACTTTGTCCACATACAACTGTCTCAGGGAAATCTAATGGACATGAAACAAGGCATATGGAACGTATTAATTGCTAAAGCTCAACACTAGCACAGGTTATGCCAACTGACACTGAAAAGTTGCCTGGAAATTCAGCACAAAGACCTCTGTAACCACAGATATCACTTAATTGGTCTGATAAGGATGACTTTCTTTTCCTCAGAATCATCTAAGATCTGTTACTATTTGAACCTCGTGGTCCTATGTGTTAGAGCAGTTCTTTGAGTTGACAGGCTTGGATATGCAGTTAATAAGCCATTAAATTGCTGAGCATCTATAAAAAATGAATCAATGTTTCAGATGTCCCAGGAGTCTTATAATTAATAAAAGCCTCCTCCTGGAAGTGAAGTATTTCAAATAGAACACACTTTCTAAAAGAATTGGCAATAAAAAATGTCCTACCTTTGTTGATTCTTTTTAAAAACGAAAATGCTCTCTTCAATAAGAGTTTCAAAATAAATATATTAATTTAAATATTCTGGTTTTCCTGATTGTTTAAAGACACAAACTGCAAATGCACTGACATTTTAGAGGTGACTAAGCCTCTGTCAGCTCACAGAGAAAATGACTGCAGTAACAGGGTCTGTGGGAGCCACACTGGCCAACAAAAGCAACACAGCATGTATGTACAGAGCTGCTTTGCTACAATCCCCAAAGTCCTCAATCAGTGTAACTGAAACAAAAACCTGCTTATAAAACCATGGGAGCCAAAACAGGCACTGCTTGTTCTGCTGGCCACACCGACAGGATTTACTTTGCGGGGAGAGGAGGGGGAAGAGGGGGGCTGTCTTACACCCATGCTCATGTGTTTTATTTTGTTACACAGCACATGCCAGTGCCTGCTTCTTGGGTGCTGCCTAGTCATTGTTCACACAGAATTTTCCTGGGAGAAGCATATTATAGGTGTAGAATTCAAGGAAAAATGCAGGTAAATATTGCCTCTTGATCCACTGGGAGATGGAACATATTGTCCTGGAAATTGCTCCTCAGCAATTGTCTCTTGTGTGGCACATTTCGAATACCTACAAAGAAAGATCTTTCTAATGATTTCTACAATACACATCAGACACCAAATCCTGCCTTGCCTCTTTCACTGTGGAAGTATCCTGGCAACAGCGGCAGTGCTGATGTTAGAATCTCTGGGCTTCATCCTTTCCTGCTTAGCCGAGGAGGAAAGGCACTAAGCACCAGAGCAATGCTGACAGATGCAATCTTGTGTGGAAAGGATGAGCAAGGCTTGTGCAGCATGTGGTGGCAGTGGCAAGGGAGAAATACTGCAGCCCTTTGGAGAGGCAAGGTGAAGAAATCAGACCCACTCTCACCCCACTCACCCTGGACACTTTTGGTAGATGGAGATGGATTCTGCACAGGAATTTTCCTTTATATGTAATGCTAGGCAACAGCTAAAGAAAAGCGGGTGGCAGAACCATCCTGGATAGATAGGTATCAAATTTAGTATACTTTGTAATGAAGCAGGAATTAAAAAGATATATATAGACTTTGCAGTATGAAAATATTTCTACATAGCTTAGAAGATTAGGTAATAGATTTTTAGTTTCACAGTAACCTATACATTTAGAGAACTTGCAATATTTCGTTTTATGTTCACATCATGTGATTGTCATTAGACTTCTACTTCAACAATCTGTTTCTGAATTTCTAAATTTACCAAAAAGGATTCACAGCATTACTTCTCAGAGATATAAAAATCTGAATTCTTTAATTTTATACCTGAACAACAAAAAAATATTTTCTTAAATTCTGTTTCAGGATAAGAATTATTAAGTTCTGTAAAATATTGTCTTGCTGAAAGGTTGAGGGGAAAGTTGATTACCTGCTTCAGAATAGGCTGGAGTGCTCTCTCTCTTGATATCAGTCAGTAGCCAGAACCCCTTCTTTTATTGAAGCATTGTGATCCAAGCAGTAAAAGAACAATTGTCTTTTAGGACTTGACATCTGAAACCCTTATCAGCTTTATGCAGGCTCTGAAACATTCCTGGAAAGTGTCCTCCAGATAGTATTGCCAGCTAAGTTTTAATGGCACTGCCACAACTTTTTTAATGTGGTGACTTTAGTATTCCATGATATTGCTAAGTCTTCATTAAAATTTAGAAAAGTTCACTTCATAAAGTGCTGAACAGTCTTGTGAGTGTCACCATTTGAGAACAGGAAGACCCAAAACACAGAGACTATTTATCTGAACAAATTGCAGTTCTCCAGACTCCCTCTATAGTCAACAGAGAGGAACAGTCACTTGTAAATGATTTCCTAACCTAGAAATCTAAACCAGGTCACAATCCATGCTCAGAGCAAAGGTATTTTTCCCTTTGGTCTATAAAGAAGGTTCAAAGAGACTAGTTCAGAGATGGAAATCTTTACAGCAGTTGAGGTAAGTGAGATGACTCCCCAAAATAGAGGTTAAGTCATTTTTTTAGGCTTCAGAGAAATCCTAATATTCAGGACTCCTGCCTTTCCCTCTTGCAAGAACATCCTTACCTGAACATGCACAATCTCACTGCAGAAGGAGGTAACTGAGGACTCTGAATAACAGAAACTGACTGCAAAGTAAGAAGGAAGAACAGACCTGGTGTTACTGTCACGTCATTTCCATTGACCACAGGTCTTTCTTCCTCTTCTTCCTCTGGCGGTTCAATGCCTGTCTTCTCCATATTGCTCACAGACTTATTCCTTTTACGTTTGCCTTCAGCCCCGGGAGTGGCACCTGGGAGGATCTGGTCTGTCACATTTAACAGCAATGGAGCCGGTTCTGCTGGAGGCTTTGGAGTGCCGTAATAGTTGTCTGGAAAGAAAAGGAAAGCAAAACACGTAAGATTGCAGAAATACACAGACTGCTGCTGCTTCTTTTGTCTTAGATTAATGGATGTGTGAGGTAGGACCTGGCTCATCAGCTAAAATAAAGAATAATTCAAAATGTTTTCTGCAAAATTGAATGTTTACCTTTCCTGAAATGGTAATTAATTTTCTTGATGGTAGCACAAGTGATCCAATCATGCTCACAAATATGTATCTTATTAACAATTTCTGAAACTATAACAGGTTAAGCTTACATACCTCTCATCCAAGTACCTTACCAACTAGTAGTGTACCAAAGCTGTTGTCTTATTTCAAATCATTAGGACAAATTAGTTTTACAACATTTATGTGACAAAACAAGAGTTTCTTGAGGATCAATATTATGACAAGAATAATTATTATTTATTATGTTATATCATTTCACTCCCTCAAATTATCTCACCTGCTAAGAAAGTAAATAATCATTGAATGATTCAGAGATTTGCAGTTTTCAGTAAGACTTTCACTATCTTGTTTTTCATATTTGTCAAACTTTTGCTATTCATGACTTCAAAATTTGTAATAGTTAATGCTAATATATTTTCAAAGAAAATTGAAACTTTATGCTTTAGGGCTTAACATTATCTCAAAGTACTAAGGAATTCTGAGGAGACTTAGGGTGGCTGACAGATTACCTCTATTTGTGTCTCCTGAAATTTCTGGCAACTTCCTCTGAGTCATCCACTTTCTGCCAGAAGGATTATTAGATTTGATAGACCACAGTCCCATTTTATCTATCAATATCTGTATGTTTGTGGTTTTTTCACATCTAATCTCAAAATTAGTGTATTGCTGATACCACAAATTTTTCATTAAAAATATGGTTAAAAATAGATCAGAAACATAATTAAATATTTTAAAAAGCATGTGCTTTCTAAAAAGAAACATTAAGAGTAATAGAAGATGCAAACATGGTATTTATGCTGTTTTCTTTTTTCACCTGTAAGCTGTATTGAAGGGCAGTGAACAGGTTGTTTTACAAGTAGATTTACAGCAGTTATTATGGGAAAATAAAAATACTGTCCAGGTCTGTAACTGAAACTTTTTCGCCCTCCCATGTCTCCCCCATTCCCCCCCACCAAAGAAAAAATAAAAGCAAAAGCACACCTCTGTAAGCACATCAAGATATTAACAATATTTGTAGACCTTATGACCATTTTAAAACTTTTTATCCCATTATTTAGGACTTCTGTATGATCAAATACCTGTAGCAACTGACAATATCATTGTTACCACATATAGGTATGACAAAAATAAGTGCATATGTTATACATGCACAGTAAACCATCATAAAATAAATTTTGCAGGCAGAGTAAAAATTATTACTGGCACTTGTAGTTCTGTGTTTCCGAGGACTTACAATGTTCAGCCACATGACCACCTCAGTACAGGTAAGTAACTGAACAGCCTTGCAGCTACTGAATACTCAATGAATTTTTACAGCACTTCAGCAAAACAATATTAATAACAGTTGTTTCTGTAATTGTAATACACAGTAAAAACCTACTGTGCTAAATGACACTCATAGTCACTCTGGATTTAGGGATGTCTGAGTCAAAGTTTCACTTACTGCAGATTTTCTTTGGATTTTGTGAGATGGCAGCAGGTTTAACCAAGAGCCCCAGCAGTGGAGTGAGATGTGGTTCTTTAGGGGTGACTGTGGGAGCTCTCTGACTGCCAGAATTAAAGCAGGGGAGCAGGATTTGGGGTCTAAGGGGGAAAAACAAAATTTACATTGGTCCACTCACAAAACTGTACATCCAAAAAATGTCAAGATCAGATCTATTTGCATTCAAATTTCTATGCTCTGACAGTACAGGCTATTTTGAGAGTATCTGGAAACCAACAGTGTTCAGTTGGAAGTCTACTTTTGTATTACTCTAAGATCACACTACCTTTACTGGTGAGACTGTGTGTCTGAAATATCACATACTTTGAAAAAAGGATTCCTCAATTAAAAAATGCCCCTGGTCTAAGCCATTTTACCAGTCTCAATTAGTGCCTCAGAGGCCTTAAGCCTGACAAAACTTGTCAAATATTCACTGATTTCCACTGATGCTATAAATAGTAGAAGGCTATCCCAGGGGTATCGTATCAGTGTGACACAAACTGTGAAACTGAAGTGCAGTACCTTGGCTTTCTTTTCCTTTGTTCTTACTTTTGTCATTGTCATACAAAATTGAGTGCAGCAGTAAATAGCAGTAATGTTAATATCCTGAATAGTAGATGAGGTGTTTTAACTGAAGGACACTCTCATGTTATTTTAAAATATTAGACACATTTTCACTTTGACTGTATGCATTAGAGACAGAGATAAAATTTACCAAAAAACCATCTATGAATATCACATATATAAAAATATAAGAAAAAATTGCACATGTAAGATCAGGGGCCAAAGAGGATTTAACTCATTCAGTTTCAAACTGAAAATGCTGTTTAGTTTCCAACTTCTGCCCTGTAACATAACACTTTATGTGCTTTATGATCAAATAACCACTGATTTAAAAGTGAATTTTAAATTATTTATTGCTACCTACCTATTGATCTATACCTTTAGTTCAAAAATGTGCAAAAACAATGCAAATAAAAATAAGAAACTATACACATATTGATACAATCGGTGTGTCATAAAAAAAAAAAATTAGTTAAACTACAATGGAAAAAAATATATAGGGTGAGAGATTCAGCCATTTCAATGAAGGAGCAATGCTCCATTATAGAAAAATTAAAATCAATGTGAACTGTATCTTTTATGAAGAAGAGATTCTTAGTGTCTTGAAACTCCTTACTTAATACTTGGGATATTAGAGATAACGGGATACTCTCATAAAACCTTGGCAAATGTCATACCTAGGCATAATATAGAGACTAAATGTTTAAAAAACATAACTTTTGTTGCCATGAAATTTTGATAATCTTTGCTCTCTTTTTCATCTTCCCCAAGCAAGGCCGGGGCTGGTTCAATAGGTTATTGTTGAAACACTAATAATAAAGTACTGAAATTCATTTTCCTGTAGGTAAAAAAGGAATGTCAAATAAATAATTTCAACTGTAGTCAATTTTTAAAAAGGAATTATTAAAAATAAACAAAAAAAAGGAAAAAAAAAAGTGGACTAGAAGAAAACATAAATCCCATGCTCATTGGCAGTCAGAAAAATCAGCAGTTAGGAGTTCTTTTAAAAAATGAATGGAGCACAAACCAGACAACACCTTTATAGCACTATACAAAACCACATAGTACCCTCTCTTTTGTATACTGCCTGCTGTTCTGGTACTTGCCTCTCAGAAATTACATGGGGGAACTAAAGAAGGGCAATTAAAGCTTGGAACTGCTTAAATTGTTTTTGAGGTTTCAGCTTGGAAATGGGACAACTGAAGGGGGATATGGCAGATATGGATAAAAACAGGACAACCCTGGGAAAGTGCCTAGAAAATCAATGAATGGATGCTTGGCTTCCCACTACTTGAGAATAAGAGGATGCCCAATCCTAAATTAGCAGGTTTAAAACAAGCAAAATAAGAATTTTTTTTTTTTTTAAACAGCATAAGAGAATAGTGGCATTCACTGTCAGATGCTGTCAGTATCATAAATGCAGTAAAAAAAAAGCAATTATAAAAAGTCATAGAAGAAAAAAAGACCATGAAAGCCTATTAAACGTAAAGGTTCAAATTCTGAATCAAGAGTTCCATACAATCAGATTGGCAGAGTGCAGAATGTAACTCTGCATGCCTTCCCTGTTCTTGTATTTTATGCTTTAACATCTTACATCTCGTCCAATATCGGTGATTCTGTGATCTTCCAAGGGGCACTAGTAGAGACATTTCCCCCCCATTTGACTAAGTGCAGCTGCTCTATTACTCAGGTTCCTCCTTGTTGTACTCAAAAAAATGTGTGTATACTCACCTGCCACCCCTGCACAGTCAAGAGGTCAGTTTAAGCCTTAGTTCTCCATGCTGGGCCTGAATCAAAGCCTCTGTGCAGACAGGCAGTGCAGAGAAAGCACCGCTGCTGAATCCATCTGGCTGCTGCTCCTGATTGCTTCAGTGCTCCCAGCTGGTTCTGAGTGCAGCTGGATACTGAAGATGGTCTGGCCTGACCTATTTGACTTGGCTGCCAAAGTGGCTTGGAAGCCATGGCACAGTGACAATTACCAAGTATCCCTTGCCACCCCTGAGCTGTATGAACCCTGATCAGCACCCTGATTCTGCAAGGAAGAGTCACAGAAATTAATGGGTAGGCTTGCTCTGATGACAGAGACTGGATCAGGAAGTCAGAAAGTCACAAGAAGCAGAAAAATGAGGAAATAAGGAGGATGAAACAGCTTACTTTTTTTTCTTAACTTCAGTTTACATTATGTCAGGATGTAGGAAGACTTTTATTTTATCGATAAAGTGCTTGATGATAGCAATATCCTAACTTGCTTCCTGAGAAAAAGTAAGCCTCTGTGGAAGGAAAAAAGAGCATTTGGGTGGTAGTAAAGAAGCAGAAGAATCCTCATGCTGAAGTGATACCAAGACTCAGATATACTGACAGTAGCTATACTGGTGTGCTCTACACCTAGTGATCCCAGTTACTGGGCACAGTCATAAATGTGTCTCCCACATCGTGCTCTGCTTTGTGCTCCATTGCAGGGACTGACCCACATGCATTTTCCTCTGCCTGGCCTTCCCAGTCCCTCTCCCTTTCTGTGAGGAAAGATCCAAAATGCAGCATAGAGTGGACATTTCCACTTGCCATCCTTCTGGACAGAGAAGGGAGAGGAAGGGCTTTGTGCCATGTCTGCACTCCAGGCTGTGGAAGAGGATGTGCTCCTTTAGCTCCTGGGCCAGGCCAGCCTGAGCCATCAGGTTGTGGAGCAAAGGGATCATTGCTGAGAGCGTCCTTTGGTCCTGAAGCTCCAGTGATCTCATCTAAGAAGTTAAAAACTCTAGTTTAAAAATGTAAGT